CTCAAGGTCGCATCATCGCCAAGGACCGTATGCCCTCTGCCAAATTCGTCAACCCTGTCAACTTTAGCAAGATCCCCGCCAACCAACCGTTCACCATCCAACTCAAGCTCAAGAACCTCCAAGCCGGTTTCTTCACCAACGCGCAAACCAACTACTATGCTGCTCCCGCTGAAGTCAATGGCGATGGTGTCCTTATCGGTCACACCCACGTTGTCATTGAGCCCTGCTTTAGCCTTGACAATACCGAGCCCCTTGACCCTACCAAGTTTACATTCTTCAAGGGTGTGAACGGAGCTGCCGATAACAATGGTATCGTCACTGCTAATGTTGACAAGGGTGTCCCACCGGGTGTGTACAGGTTGTTCTCCATCAATACCGCCGCGAACCACATGCCCGCTGTGGCTAGTGTTGCTCAACGTGGTTCGTTGGATGATGGCATCTACTTTACTGCCGAATAAGCGTTGTTGTGGTCTCTTTGTTTGGAACGTAGGATTTTAGGTGTCGAGCACCCCCTTAACCCCCCTCTCCGCATCCGCATTATTCCTTATTCTTTAAATGTAAACTCTCTAGGTAGTTTACCTCCTTTGTAAATCAAGCAGGCCTTCAACTGGGCAATTTGTGTGATCATAAGGTTGGGTGGCAGCATTAATGCATTTCGATCTTGGTTTCTACCATGAATTCAAGTCCTCCCCTCGTCTGATACATAATTGAGGTTATGGTTCGATGATGCTTGTATAGGAATTACCGCTTCAACGTTTCAAATTCATGGCGCTCTCATACGCGAGTCAACACGAGTCCAGTCCAGTCGATTTGCGGTTTTGACCTTCCTCTCAGAAAGCGTCGTACGAGCATCTGCACGAGTGACGTACACATAGTGGTCTCCGCCGAGACAAGAGACTATATTTTCCCTCAAGGTTATAGAGGATTGCAAATTTCGAGTTTCCTTTACGGGCGATGACCTCAACTCCCTCTTCGCGCGTGCCTTGAAGATTCGCGAGGGCACACCCTACGCTCTCTTATTGGGTATAAAACTGTATGTTCATGTACAGTCTGACGACCCCTAAGAATCTGTCCCCTTTGTCGGTTCCCCCAAGGTTCAGAGAGTATAATGACCGCCCTCTGGCCTTTCTCCCCCCAACGAAACTTGAACCCAATGACGACCCCTCCTCAATCTCAGAGTACCCATTCCAAGATGTTTACGATGAAATATCATCACCCGTCTTATACGGTGACGAGTGTTACGGACCCCACGGTTTCTGGGTATATGACGATGCCCGAGGACACGGGCAGGGGACACAAATGGATTTTGGCGACTACGAAAAAACATTTAGAGACGCTTAGGGCGATTGAAAGGTTGGATGAGTGGGTGATGAGGCCTTTT